TCCCAGCGTGGTACTGACCCATTGGTTGGTACTCCTTCCTTTCTGGAACTGGATTCCTGGAGTTGGGCTCAGAGCTTAGCTGTGGATCTCTGCTTCAGCTTCTGTCAACTACTGGATGAAGGCTCTAGGATGGCATTTAGGTTGGTCACCGTTCTCAATATAGAAGGGTAGTTAAGGTAGCCTCTCCAGTATTGTTTAGGTTCCCAGTTGGGGTCATCCTTGTGGATCCGTGTACAATTCCCTAGTTCCATATTTCTCTTTAAAGCTATAGTGGCTCCCTCTATTGATATCTCTTTTCTTGTTCTCTTCTATTCCTCTCCCTACTCAATCTTCCAGAACCCTCATGATCTCCCTTTCTCCTCTTCTTCCTTCCTCTTCTACTACTTCCGCCCCTCATGTTCCAAATATGTTCAGGGGCTCTTGTCTTTTCTGCTTCAATAGGGCACTGTGTATGTCTCTATTACAGTCTTCCTTGTTTCCTTGCTTCTCTGGAGGTGTGGATTTTAGGCTGATAATGATTTTCTCTGTGTCTAATATCCATATATGAGTGAGTACATACCAAGTTTGTCTTTCTGTGACTGGATTATCTCACTTAGGATGGTTTATTCTAATTCTATCCACTTGCCTTCAAATTTCAAGATTCCATTGTTTTTCTTCATTGAGTAGTAGACCATTGTATAAATGTACCACATTTTCTGTATCCATTCTTCATTTGAGGATTTGTGGGGGCATCTAGGTTGCTTCCAGGTTCTGTCTATTACAAATAATGCTGCTATGAACATAGGTGAACAAATGTCCTTATTGTATGAATGTGTATCTTTTAGGTATATGCCTAAGAGTGGGATTGTTGGACCTTGAGGTAGACTGATTCCCAACTTTCTGAGTAATTGCCATATGATTTCCTAAGTGGCTGAACAAGTTTGCATTCCTACCAGTAGTGGAGGAGTGTTTCCCCTTTCTAGACATTCTCTCCAGCATGAACTGTCATTTCTGTTTTTGATTTTACCCATTCTTACCAGCGCAAGATGGTATCTCAGAGATGTTTTCATTTGCATTTCATGATGAGTAAGGATGTTGAGCACTTAATTGTCTTTCAGCCATTTTAGATACCTCTATTGAGAATTCTCAATTTAGTTTTGTTCCCCTACTTTTTAATTGGATTATTTGATGTTTTGGTGACTAGCTTCTTGAGTTCTTTGTATATTTTAGAGATCAGCCGTCTCTCTGATGTGGGGTTGGTGAAGATCTTTTCCCATTCTGTGGGCTGCTATTTTGTCTTGTTGACTCTGTCCTTTGCCTTACACAAGTATCTCAGTTTCAGGAGGTCCCATTCATTGATTGTCGATGTCAGTGTCTATGCTACTTGTGTTATGTTCAGGAAGTTGTATCTTGTAACAATTCATTCAAGGGTGCTTCCCACTTTCTCTTCTAAGAAGTTCCATGTGGCTAGATGTTGATTTCTTTGATCCATTTGGACTTAATTTTTGTTAGTGGCTATAGATACGGATCTATCTGCTATCTTCTACCCACCCGTTATGCCAAACCAGTTATGCTAGCACCATTTGTTGAAGATGTTTTCTTTTTTTCATTGTATAATTTTAGCTTCTTTGTCAAAAATCAGGTGTTTGTAGGAGTGTGGACTAAATCAGGGTTTTCAATTCTATTCCATTGGTTTACCTCTCTAATTTTGTGCCTATAACTCAAAAAAAAATTCAGTAGCTCTACTATATACAGATGATAAATGGGCTGAGAAAGGAATCAGAGAAACATCATTCTTTATAATAGCTACAATCAACATAAAATATCTTGGGGTAACACTAATCAAACAAGTGAAAGACTTGTATAGTAAGAACTTTGACTCTTTAAAGAAAGAAATTAAGAAGATACTAGAAAATGAAAAGATCTCCAATGCTGTTGGATAGGTAGGATCAACGTAGTAAAAATGGCAATCTTGCCGAAAGCAATCTAAAGATTCAATGCTATCCTCATCAAAATCCCAGCACAATTCTTCACAGACCTTGAAAGAATAATACTCAACTTTATATGGAAAAACAAAAGACCCAGGATAGCAAAAACAACCCTGTACAGTAAAGGAACTTCTGGAGGCCTCACCATGCCTGACTTCAAGCTCTATTATAGAGCTATATTGCCTATTTTTTTTTCTTTTTTGATGTTTTATTTGCTAAATTTTTCTAGAGATAGATCTATGGAGTATATGATCCTTCAAAATCCCTATTGATGTCATATCCCTGTTTTATCACAGGGTTTATCCTAGTAATATATCAAAATGTTATATACATATAAAAGGATGAAAGCTGCATTGTTTTCCTATTCCTCAACATAAATTACACAATTATCAATAGAAATATTTCAGTCTTGGATTTTTAATGTTTGTGCCTTGGAGTACTTGTCAAATTAAATCTTTAGAAGCAATGATCCCTTCTTCATTTCTGTAAGAATCTAGGAATAATTGCTTCTTCCTTGTTTTACAAACTGTGGCAAAAAAAAATCTTTGGATCCTATAAATTAGGTTTTAATATTTATGGCTGTTTTGAATATATTTATGAACAAGAACTTTCTTGATAAAATAATTAGTAAAGTTCCTTCAGGCAATGGAGAGAAAAAATGTATTTCTCTACAAAGGATTATAGAAAATTCATGACAAATGCACGAGAAAGAAGAATAAAAATGCAGAACTCTATCTCAGGCCCCAAAGAAATAAAGTACAAAGATCAAAATGAGGAAGCAGTTCTTGCTCATTAGGAAACGGTCGGGTAAGTTATCGTTTCTTTCCAAAATGTATGAGTTGTAGAATAATTGAGCATACCCAGCCATGCAGAATTACATTCCACAAGAAAATAGAAAACAGACCTAAAATAAATGTTACATAGCTTAAAAATATATCACCATGAACAGAAGTAATGATTTTATAGGAATAATAATAAATATCTCAAAAGTTAAAGGAAATATATCTAAACATTGTGCTTTGGTATAAGTGTACATTGATTTAGTTATAGTTTTTTTATTTGATAGAACAAACTGTCACTTTTGTTACTAGTAAAACACAGATCTGTACCTTTTAAATGTGTGTGTAAACTATATGTGATAAGGTGCTTTTATATACTAGCTAAACTAGTAATTTTTAAATATTTTAAAGCTTTTAAAGGAAACCATCACTGTTAAAGTAGTGAGCATCTTGTATTTTACACGAAGATTATATATGCTTTTAATCCAGGTAGTGTCAGCCGTATGACTTTTTTATTAGAGTAATATCAAATACACAGTTTTATTTAAGTTATAAAAAGTTGAATTTATAAACAAATGGAGAATTGTATAGGTTTTACAAAGTGTAATATTGCTCTCATTGCAAAAAAAAAAAACTTTTATAGTATTTGGATAAAAGCCATCCCTAACACGCCAGACGTGATGAACTCTTCTCATTTTGATTTATATTTCCTTCATGATCAGAGATATTTAATCTTTTTCCCAGGGCATTCTTCTGCTGTGATTGCCGAAGGTTCCATGAAAAAATAATCGTCTAAATTTCAATCTATTATTTTGGGATTTGTTGCTGTATTGTGTTTGTTTCTTTTTCTGAACTGGAGTTCATATCAGGTGTATGTGCTACAAGTCTTGTGTCATGTCCCTTTTAGTGCTGTGATTGCTTTATTCTGTGAAGGCTTGGTGTTTGATATACTCACATTGTTTAATTCTTCTGCTGTCTGAGCTTTATTGTAATACACAAACAATCATTTCCAAACCAAAAGTCCAGGATGCAGTTTGCTCAATTTAATTGTAGGTCTATTATGTGTTCCAGGCATTTCACATCTAGGAAACAGACATTCTCCTTCTGCTTACTTACTCCATTCATTTTCCTGGTGGTTTATTGGAACTGACCTTTCAGGGTCTTCCTATATGAATGAAATCTCTCTGGAAGCATCCTCCCTCAGGAGAGTGTTTTATTAACCTTCTAGGAATTTTTCAGTTAAATCATATTGATAATCAAGATTAAGCTCACAGCTCCAATCATATCTGCCATGCAATCAACCCTAGTTGATTTAGCTTTGGAAACCATTTCCTCCTTTTATTTCTGAGCCCTCAGGCCTTTTCCTCCAATAAGATGGAAACTATCCAGTGCTGACTTCATCAGATAGTTCCTCTTCAGAGCCTTCAATGCCTTCATATCAGGCCTTCATTCTCTGTAAGCTACTGTTCAGGCACTAAGATGTTTTGTTAATTGTCAATCCAGTGAGAATTAATTGCCATTAAGAATATTGGAATTAAAAAATTTTAAATATGTAACTTGGTAAACCAGATAATGCTCATACTTAAACTTAAATATCATGTCTGATATTGTAGATATATTTGATAAGAAAACATAATACCACAAAGAATATTTCAGAAAGATTTTCATTTTTTCCTTTTGTTGGATTTAATTGAAACATTTTACCTTCATTATTTTTAAGCATTTTTCTCAATACCCTAATTTTCTTTGTTTCTTTAATGTTGACATTGCTATGATTTCCTCTGTAATAGTTTATATGGGGTTATTTTCTTTGTTCACAAAATTTTCTGAGCCAACATTATTCAAACTAGCTTACCATACCCTTCTTATGAAATAAAAACAGTTAAAAAATAGCTAATTTTCTTTTTGCCACATGAACAAGATGTACTTCAAAAAACTGAGCCTTCATTTTTATGTATATTCATTTGCTCATCTTAGACGTAAGAATAATATTCGGTCCAGGCTGGCTGGAAATTTTAAGAGCTGAGCAGATTACCCTGGACCTCATGCTGTCCTGTATCAGATTCCTAAGGGCTGGAACTGAAGGTATGTACCTTGACTCAAACATTATTTGGGGAGACTCTGGAGGCCTCAGTAGCTTGAATCTAGAACAAGGTGAGTACTCTGCTACTGAGCTATTGCCCCAGCTCAATTTTTCATTAATGAGGTGATAAATATTGTGATTAAATATTAAAACAAATATTTATATGTTTACCTGCTGAAGTAGGCTCTTCTTCATCTGATGCTATATTAAAGGGAGGAAGGTGACATGGACAGAAAAAGAGGTTGATGTGGACAAAGGTAGGGGAAGGGAAAGGAAAAGAAAGAAAATTTCAACATTAGTATGTTTCACACTTTTAAATAATCACAAGTCAAAATCTAATAAATTTGCATGAACTAGAAATTTTTCTTTCCTTAATGGAATTAACTTGTAATTAATTTATAAGGAAATTTAAATAGATATACACATTATTAAATATATGTATTTATTATAAAGTGCCATTTTCTTGTCCTAATTTACTGTTGTTTCTTCCTTTTAATTTTGCAAACAAGAATGACTTTAGTTAGTTCATGTAGTTTTAAACATTTTTCTAAGGTATAAGTCATATATGACACACAGATCCTGGGACCAGGCCCCCAGGAGTTGACAAATTCTGGAGAGGAGGCAAGCAGTAGGCAAGGGAAAAAGTAAGCCAAACCATGGTAGTGGTGAGAATATTGCCATCTGACTAACTAGGAGTCAGAATGCTTCTGTCTTATACAGAATTCAGTAAGCAGGAATAGATTCATGTTGTTCCAAAACACAGATCATAGTATTTCTGTTTCTGGACATGTGTTTATTTTTTTTCTTCTGCACATCTTGAGTTATAAGTTTAGTCACCATTGATAAATAGAGTTATCTTTTATAATATATTTTTTTTACTCATTAACCACATAACTCAAATTTGAAGAATCTAGAGGCATACGACAGTGTTCTCAGGCCGGTAGTTCTTGTGTCTTCAGGGACCCAAGATAGAGAGAAAATCTCCAAGCCAGCCTGGACAGATTACCCTGTCTTAAGCAGTGTAATATTATCACTTAATGGCCAGAACATCAGTGAAAAATCCTCAGGCCAATGTTGTTGCAGTTATTATTCAAATTCTGGAATAATTCAGTGTTTTGCATTTTATATTTTTATGCATGTTTTCATATGTTTAATCTTGACATTCTTTTGTTCATAAGACACTACAATGGCCATGAATGAGCTAACTTTTCTAAGAAAGAGTAACACCTCAGTGTTTTGTTGTTGTTGTTTAAATGTATTTTTTAATTTTTAGAACAATCTTATTATACATATGAATCTCAGTTCCCTCTCCTTCCCTTGGGGATTCAATAAAGTCTGTCATACCACTTGAGGCAGTACAAAGGCCCTCCCTCCCAGCTATATCTATGCTGGGCAAGGTATCTCTCTGCAGGGGATGGGCTCCAAAACCAAGTTCATGCAACAGGGATAAATACTGGGTTCCCTGCTTGTGGCCCCACAAACTGCCCAAGCCACCTAACTATACCCACATTCAGAGGGCCTAGTTTAGTCCTATGCAGATTCTTCAGTTGTCAGTCCAGAGTCAGTGAGCTCCTACTTGCTCAGGTAAGCTATTTCTGTGAGTTTCCCCATCATGGTCTTCACCCCTTTGCTCACTTCTCCCTCTCTATGGTTGGACTCCTGGATTTCAGTTCAGTACTTAGATGTGCATGCCTGCATCTGCTTCTATCAGTTATAGTTAAAGGTACTATGGTGACAATTAAGTTAGTCATCACTCTTATTACAGTTATAGTTGATACCCTCTCCACTATTGCTTAGATTCTTAGCTGGGGTCAGGTTTATGGATCCCTCATCATGGAAATGCAAATTAAAACAACCCAAGATACCATCTACACCTGTCAGAATGGCTAAGATCAAAAACACTAATGAAAGTTTATACTGGAGAGGATGTTGATTAAGGGGAAAACTCCTCCATTGCTGGTGGGAGTGCAAACTTGTACAGCTGCTTTGAAAATCAGTATGGCGGTTAATCAGGAAAAAGGGGATCAATCTAACTCAAGACCCAGGAATATCACTCTTTGGCATATACCCAAAGGATACACCCTCATACCACAAATTCATCTAGGTTCATAGCAGAATTATTTGTAATAGCCAGAACCTGAAAGCAACTTAAATACTCTTAACCAAAGAATGCATAAAAAGAATGTGATACATTTACACACTGGAGTACTAATCAGCTGTAAAAACAATGACATCTTGAAACTTGCAGGCAAATGGATGGAGCTAGGAAAAAAATCCTGAGTGAAGTAACCCAGGACCAGAAAGGCAAATACAGTATATACTCAATCATAAGTGAACATTAGACATAAATCAAAGCATATCCAGTGTATAGACCACAACCCTGGGTCTTTGTCATGTAGCTGTGTTGGCTTTATAATTTTTGCCAGTCCCATGAGATATGGCTGTGCCATCAATCCCTTTTTAATTTTCAACTTAAGGTTCCATAGATCTTGTTGTATGGCATGTAGGGCATTTCTCAGTATTTGGATTATGATTGGAGGGGCAAGAATAAAAATAAGCAAGACTCCCAAGATTATTCCAAATATATGGTTCACTTTGTTTTCTATTCAATTAAAAGCCATTGAAAACAGCAAAAATTTTATTCTATATGATAGAACATGATTATTGAATCCCACTGATTCAATACCAAGTTGATTTTTTTCTAAACAAAGATTATAGTGCACATCCAAATCAATCTTAACATCCTGTAAGCCATTTTCCCACTCCTTCTTCTTCCCCAAGCAGTCAAGCATATAATTCAGTCATTAACATGTCCCACACATACTTCAATAATCAGTAATAATAGATGATACCACGAGACATGCTTGTTTGTTTGTTGAGATAACTTCTCACTGTCTACCCAAGACTGACCTGGAATTCTATGTATTGTAAATTGGCCTTGAACTCACAGACTTGAAGTGATCATTCTTCCTGAGGTCCCTGCTCCAAGTGTAGGAATTAGAGGTATAAACCATGGCACCCAGATTTATGAATGGAAATTTTAAAGAATGGGTAAAGATAATTTTCTTATGTGTTCTTCAGTCCACTTAGGGCTATACACAGTATAAAAGTACACACACACACACACACACACACACACACACACACACACACACACACACATCCTACAACCCTGGAGCAATTCCGGACCTCCTTGTCAAACTAATTACTTAGAATCCTTTTAAATGGCACTAATTTGTAGCAAGATAGAAATATTGACATGCAATATTACCATATGGTTATATAAACCATAGTTCATTAAAGTATTAATCATCTAGATTCCTGCTTTGAATGTGGAGGTGTTTGAGAGCAGTGAGACTACAAACCAATAATCTAATGTTGTGTGGATGTTGGAAGAGAAGACAGAAATGAAATAGTGAAAAGCCAAGTTCTCATGAGTAACTTCACAATTCCTCATACAATCTACCTATTTACCTTTGTATTCCCCCACACACATTCTGGGCAGAGCTATGTCTGCTCAGTGCATAGGAGCAATTTGCCCAGAATGTTACCATTGAATAATATGTCAAAAGCCACTAGTACTGCACTTGATATGTGATATTAAAAAAAAAAAACTAAGTTGAATGCCATATAAAGTAGCTTTATCCCTACTTGATTTGTTAACCACTGTATCCTGTGTAGCCAGGAAATGTTCTCCACTCTTCCCATTGAAGTCCCAACTCCACTGGGTACACTTGAAACAAGCTTGCTTTGTGTTCCTACAGTGCTTTGCACTCCTATTTTGGCTTGCCTCATTGGCACATAAAGAAATAGAGGCAGCAAATATGGTTGGCACACATGATATTGAAAATATAAATATTTAAAAAGTTGTTTCCTGCTTCATCATGTCCAAAATATACCATAATGGATTCACAGGAGAAAATTACTGGCAGCTTCCTAATTCATTGGTAGGAAAATGTCCAAAAGTCTTGTCGTAGAGCTGACTTATACTGGTCATTGCAAATATCTAGAGATTTAAATAGATAAAAGTAAATATGCTTTTTAATGTTACATGATTAAATACATTTAATTCACATGGCAACTAATAGTTGAAGATTAGTGAGGTTACAAAGGTTTAAAAATTTGTCAAAACCTTGATGTTAGAATTTGACGTGGTATCTGTTTGAATTAAAAACTGTTTTCTTTCCGTATACATTATTGTTAAGCAAAGGCTGATTCAATGCCTCCTCAGAAAACAAGGAGAACAACAAATGACAAAGAGTCTATTGAAATTTGTTCACTACCATTTACAAATTGGGACTTGAAATGAGAACTGACCAAATTCCTGATAATGTCAACTGGCCTTCAGCCAAAGCAGGAATGAAGTGAAAAAAGAAGTCTAACATTGGGAATGAGGTTATAAGTCTTTTGGGGGGAAGTTTTCCATGCCTATTACAGTGCAGGTATATAAATAGAAAAGAGAAGACCTGGCTATAGTTATACAGAGCATGGAAAGACAATGATACCCAAGAATGGAGTAGTAGAATTGCCAAGGTATTAACTCTATTGTGAAAGTATAAGCCAGGGCATTTCAAAGTATCCAGAAAGTCCACAAAAAGGCAAGTATAAACTTGATTACTGTTGTTGTTGGATTTGACTTCATTTAAAACTAATATTTAAAATATTAGGAAGTGGGCATGACAGTGATGATGCATGCCTTTCATTCTGGCACAAGGAGGAAAAGGCAAGTGGATCTATGAGTTTGAGGCCAGCCTGGACTACATAGAGAAAGTTGCAGATAGCCAAGGGTACACACAAAAACCTTGTATTGACTAATTTTTAAAAATGTAGGAAGTTTTCTCTACTTATATTTGACCTTGACATTCCTTAAAGTATGTTTAAAACAAGGGGATTGTATAAAATTACGAAGTACAGAATATTGCATAGGGTTTTATTTCTGTGCATCATTTTCCTTGATTTCCCATAATATTTAGGTATAATTCAGTAGTACTCATAATTTTAATATTCACATGTTCACCAAGACCTATATATAAAGCTAAGTATTTGTGTTAGGTCATTTAACTAATTTGTAGTTATTTATTTGTGTAAAAAGGCCTCTGTGTAGGTCACTGAGCAAAACATCAAAAATAAAGAGGTGGTAACTCAAGTTCCATAATAAAAATAATCCACAAAATTTATATCAGCAGTCCAAGTAATGTTAT